CAATCTTGCGGTATACGCGGAGCGCTGGTAGTAGCGGATGCTGTCCACTGGGTTTGCTGGGGTTTGTTTCTGTCATGTTTCGGCGTTTGTGACTAGCTGCCCCTGGTTGATCGGCATCATCTTTCAGACCGGGATGGTGTCCGTGAAATCCAAACACGTATGCGTGTGTATGGTGTATGCAAAGACACGTATCCAAAGGTATATGTTTGGCATAAATCCAAACACTGAACGGACCTGGCTGCCTGGCCACCACCGAGCTTTTACTCACCCGGTGGAAAGGCATATAACTAGGTGCGTGCGCTTCGGCGACCGGAGATTTGTCTCCACTTTGACATAAAACACGCCGGATGTTTTCATTATGCCATCATGGTATGAACTCCGAACATGCAAGCTTATCGTGATCATTTGCTTATGGTTGCCTGTGACATCACATGCTTGTGACGTCACTTGCTTGTAACGGACGTCGTCCTCTCAGCGCCCTTTGGCGTGTCCTTGGTCGTGTACGTGGTTCCGCCCTCTTAATCATGCCTGCCTTCAGTCCTTGCGTGGCCCTTGCATATGGGCAATGATGTGTAATCGTCCTCATTATCACCCTCATCGTCCTCTCGACATTTCGCTCCCCTGCGTACGCTCCTCAGTGGCAGGATTACCTACCCCTTTGTTTACCTTCCGCCCATCCACTCCCTACCCTCCCCCAGGACCACTAGGCCTCTGCGAGCACTGCGCACCGGTCGCGTGAAAGCGCACGCGGCGCGTGTACGGCGGGCGGTTGGCTGAGGAGGGCGGGACTGACCCCCCCCCCCCCTCCCCCCGGCGAGGGGGGCGAGTATTGATTCCAGCCCGCTGCGTTCCACGCAGTGTACGCGGCACACAGGCCGGCGCTGGCGGCAAGTGACTTCGGTCTCGGCGGAGCACCGAAAGTACGCGGCCGTTGACACGATAATATGGGCTGCGCTGATTGGCCGCTAAATCCCGCCCTACGCTCAGAATGACACGCGATTGGTGCAACGGGCGACGAAATTGTAGTCTGCGTCCGGGGAGTGCATATTTTTTTGTCGAGAGTTTGCGGTACGTAAAATGAATGTGATCTTAACATGCTTTTATAAAGCCTTGTTGAGGCAGTTTTGCCATGCTGCACACACGCTTTCCCAGCATTGTGCACCCGTCTTGGATGGCAGCTTCGCTGACAACACTTGTCTGCGCGCTTATCTCGACCATGACACTTCGTAAAGTAAAGTAAAGTAATTTCGTAAAGTAAAGTAATTTCGAAAGCCGGCTGCACCGTGACCACCGTGACCTCTACCTAACTACCGTAGTTGCTTCGCTCTGTAAAGCGTTTGGAGCGGCTTAGGTCATGTTGCCTTCAAAACCTTGCTCTCCCTTTTCTGAACAATGATTGCAGCGCTTAAAGCAATGTTATTTTAGAACATCTCACTCAATCAGCGTTCGCGGCAACGGCTCGCGCTCCGCCGCGGTCCAACAGAACTTCCGGTATTCCGTGTTCGGCAGTCTCGGCCGCTACTCAGCGTTTGCCCTGCCGGTCAGCGGCCCTGGGACCACGCCACCGGTGCTAACTACAGCTCGGGGCCGGTCGACCAGCCCGGGGCTCCGGGGCACCACGCGGCTCTGTCGGCCCGCCGCCACCGGAGCGTCGCGTCGCTGGCGACAGCAGCGTGCCCCCAGTGACGTCACGCCGGTGGCCGCAACCAGACCGTGACGGCTCTGACGCAGCCGCGGCGCCGCTTTTGTGTTCGTGGCATTGTCCGCCTCGAGCTCCGGTACGAATGTGCACGATTCCACCCCGAAACGTGCTGAAAAGATACAGAGTGGGCTAGAGGCGTATAGAGCATCGAAGGGGGTCCTCGTTTTTTTCGCTGCTGCATTCTCTGCTGGCTGCTGGTGATCACTGATCACTCTTCTGATCAAGTGGCTGATCAAGATGGCTGAAGAAGGGGCTGATGGATCTGATCTGATCTTCAGTGATCACTTTTGATGCTCTCGGAGTGACTTATGTCCTCTCTCTATGAACTTGCGCCTACAGCCACGGGCTCAGCCAGTTCCTCTCTCACTCGCTCGCTCCCCCTGCCCCCTGGAGACCGTGTCACTTGTCCCTCCGGTCAAAACTCCATGAGCCTCTTCACCGGGCCGATCTCTCCCGCCGAGTCTCGGAAGTCTGCAAGGTGTGTAAACCGGCCGAAGCCTGTCGCTTTTACCCGCTAGCGCAGACTGATGAGCGAAGCTGATGTCATCACTCACATCTCGCTAATTAAACCACGCCGAATATATAGCCGGATCGATCCCCCGCCGGATATGTAGCCGGATCGATCCCACGCCGGATATATGGCGGCGTCAGTTTGACGCCGAGCGACGGCCGGTATGCAGTGATGACGTCATTTGGCCTCCCCCGGCCGGCACCGATTTCCTGGCACATGGGCGGCGCGGTGGCGGGCGCAGCTGACATGACCGGACCTTGTGCGGGTCACCTTGGCCGCCGTCGATCCGGGCAGCAGGACGAACGAGATTGTTGTGACATTCTCCGCGTGTTTGTTTTTGTGTCGGCCGGCCGATGCATCCGGCCATTCGGGCGGCTGTTACGGCGGGACTGTTATGTGATATGTCATGGCTGTCATGACACTGCCACTGTTGTGGTGTGAGGGCGCTGGCGTCGTCAGCGCGCTCGGAGGACAGGTTCCATAGTCGTGCTTGGGTTTATGGCTCTGGTACCCATTCTGTTCCTTCACCAAGCGTGCTGACGACAACACGGATAATGAGTTCATGCTGGGCATATCAGATGCCCACTCCCTGACAAGAAAAACAACAACAAAAAAACCGTGGCATGGAAGTCGAATCCGGAGCGCTCCGATTATGAGTGTTATATGGCACTGTGCCACGTACCCCGCCCCGTAAAAGCTGATCGATGCTGGCCTCAGATTGGTGCCATGACTTAAGTTTTACCTCGACCAACCCCTGAGGTAACACCTGAAGCATGTTTTGTATGGCGAACGCAATCCCACTGAGGAAGTTACCTATTACGTCACAGGGAAGTGTGACACACGGCCAGTAACAAACGCCGCAAGTTCAGAGATCTGCGGACATGAAATTGTCTCATCTGATTTAGCCCAGGGAGGCATATGCATTCATTGTCGCAACGAATCAGCCGTAGCATCACCTTAGCAGCAGAAGCAGGCGTAGCATCACTTCAGCAGCCGTAGCATCATCTTAGCAGCCGAAGCAGCCAGAGCATCACCTTAGCAACCAAAGCATCATCTTAGCAGCCGGAGCAGCCGGAGCATCGCATTAGCAGCCGTAGCATCACCTTAGCAACCAAAGCATCGTCTTAGCAGCCGGAACAGCCGGAGCATCGCCTTAGTAACCAAAGCATCATCTTAGCAGCCGAAGCAGCCGTAGCATCACCTTAGCAGCCGGGGCAGCCGAAGCATCGCCTTAGCAGCCAAAGCATCATCTTAGCAGCCGAAGCAGCCGGAGCATCGCCTTGCTCGGGATGAATTACGCGGCTGCCGTTAGTTTTTTTGAGAATATCGTTTTTTATCCACACGTAATCACGCGTGAACGCGAAATGTTCATTTACCCACATTCCTGACCGTCAGTCCGCGCTGGTCGTTGTTAGGCGTCGTTATGGAAACAAGCACGACGTATCACGCGTCCTTTCCATACCAACTGAGGGGTGGCTCCGGTAGTGACGTCAACTGAAACGGAGGTGTCGACGTCCCCGGGTCGAGTGGGTTCACCCGAAGTAATTCATAGGCTCCCATTTGGTGGCAACGAACAGGGTCTGATCGGTGTTGCGGCTGCACCAGATGGGGCACGCCGACCCTGGATGCCTTTGACTCTACTGGAACTAACATCCCCTTGATTAAGTCGGGCCAGTTAAGCCCGGGCTTAAGCCTGAGCCCGGAGACGTGCAGTGGCTGTGCCGCGATCGCCCTCAGCTAGGGAGCCTCGCGATTAAGCGTGCTCAGATCCTCGCGAGTACCTGAGCCTGCACCCATTCGGAAGACCAAATTAAGCCCTGAGCCTACGTCACGTCGTGCAAAACAGGCAGTAAGTTGCCGTGCATCTCGTCCGTAATGATGCGCGGTCTCCAAGCAGAGCTCTATTCTTTCAGCGCTCGATTGCACGCATTGCTATTTCACATGTGTCGCTGCAGTGGCCGATACTGGTAATCCAGGAACGACTATTCGTGCGCTTCGGAAGCTGCGTTGCCGTGCTTGACGTCGTTTAGCAGCGCCGCGGAAAGCAAGAGAACACGACGAAGAAGTCCCTGATCATACGCGTCAAACATTTTTCGCCTCTTAGAAATAACGCCGGCAGCATCTTTCCCCGTTGGTTCAGGGAAGACACCGAAAGCATATTTATCTCGCGAGTCATCATAACGTGGAGTATCCCAGCCACGCGCGAAATAATCTGAAGGTCCCCGTCGCCAGATACGGGTTGGATCTGCTTAGCCACTCCCAGCTGTCACTCCCGCTGGCCGGCCCCGTTACCCCTGGCGCTGCCGTCGCGTGCTATCGGCCCATCTCGCACGTGGCAGCCAGTCAGCGGCACGTGCACGTGTGTGCGTCTGGCCCCTGTCACACGTGCCGCGGTGTGCACTTGCGGACGCGCGTCATGCGCCACGTGGCGCACGGCAGCGTCGGTGCGATTGGCGTGAAGGGGAAATAACGCCCAGCACCTGGAGCTGATCGTGCCGTTGTTTCACCGCGGGGTGTGTGGGGACGTGGACCTGGAGGTGTCACCTGCGTGCCCCGCCCCTCGGCCGTTCCCCTCCAGTTGTGCGGGGGGCCGTCACTTCAGCGGGCTGTGTAAGCCGAGTCTTTTGCTTCGTTAATCACGTCTGTAGCCCAGCGTTTTCAGCTGCCTCCATATACACATGTGGCCGTGTTGATTGATTTGATAACATATTACGTCACCTGACGGCGATCCGAACTGCGTGCATCACCTCTCCATCAACACTTAGGAGTGCTTAGGTCAGGTACTGACCTGTTCCGTTTTCTCCTCAGGTTGTGACGCCCAGCACGTGCTGCGGAGCTCTGAACGGCTTCGTGGTCAGCTTCGGTGTGACTGCCTCTCGCGTCCATCTACTCCGCCGCCATGACGGTCAACAACGGCACCCTGTACAAGTATGAGTGCTCCGGGGGCTTGTTGCTGCCCATGATCAATGAGTTCACCTGGGCCAAGGAAGTCCGCGCCACCCTCTACTTCTTCGGCCTGCTCTACTGCTTCATGGGTATCTCCATCATCGCCGACATCTTCATGTGCTCGATCGAGAAGATCATCAGCAAGACACGCCGCATCTACATGGCTACGGCCACAGAGTCGGAGCCAGAGGTGGTCGAAGTGCGCATCTGGTCGGATACGGTAGCTAACCTGACGCTGATGGCCCTCGGCTCCTCCGCGCCCGAGATCCTGCTGTCCTGCATCGAGATCGTCTCGAGGAGCTTCGAAGCCGGCGAGCTCGGTCCGGGCACCATCGTGGGCTCCGCCGCCTTCAACTTGCTCTGCATCGTCGCCATCTGCGTTGTGGCGGTGCCCAAGAACGAGGTGCGCACTATCCGCTACATGAAGGTGTTCGCCGTCACCACCTTCTTCAGCTTTCTCGGTGAGTGGCTGCCGCTGAGAGACGCAACGGCGGGTAGTGATCTTGCCAGCATGCGGAGCGACACTGAGCGCGTCTGTCGGGTCAAGGTTGCGGGACGGAATGACGCAAGGAGCATTTGTGTTCATACGCACGCAGACACTTGTGCAAAGTGTCCGTTGTTCTTGCGTCCGTCAATGGCAATGATCAGAGGCAATGCACGGGGAAAATGGATGAAAACGGAAAGAATCTGGGAGGACGAGAGTGAGATAAAACGGAGAACGGAGGGAGGGGGGGGGGACGGACAGCTGCCCTCCATCTCCAGACAAATTTTACCCTAGTCTAGTGGTGGTGCTTAGAAAGGACTGGGCTGCATTCACGTCGCCCGCTCCCGTCACGTCAGAGGATCCGCCGCCACTGGTTAGCGATGGGGTAATCTTACGTCATGATGAGGGTGGGATAGCGGTGCTGACCCATTTTCTGTCCTAATCTAAGCCGATGGGCGCGGAGATATGGATTGCAAATTTGTCGTTAGAATTCACGCGCAGTCTGGTTCGTGAGATATCTGTATCAAAAGGTGAGGTGGCGATGCACCGCGACTGAGGCAGCCTGATGTCACGAAATCACACATGACCGACCGGCGCCTGAGGCAGTCTGACGTCACAAAACCACCCACGGCCGAGCGGCGCCGCTGCGTTACGGTGTTCAACGTGACAGAAAACAACTGCCATCGTTTTAGGGTTGTAGTTTATGAACCGGTTTAGACCGTGACCCGAGATCTGGACCCGAGATAGGGGCCTGAAACTTGGAGGCTGTTCTCTTTGAGCCTTCCAACAAATGTGGCCAAAATGTAGGACCCCTGCGCGATGCATGGCTACTTGCTACTTCAGATAGTGATAGGAGGTGGGGGTGGGGGGGGGGAGGTATTGTTATTGCAGCGATAGACCGTCCATCCTTTGCTCTGTGGTGGAGTTAAGTTGTACATGACAGCTAGAGTATTAGACCAGCGAATGTTACGAATGATGAGGAGCTGGCACGTAACGCGCATGATGCCGGCAAGTTTTTTTTGTCGTGAGGTGACAACAAAACTTGTTTTTAGGGAAGAATGACGTGAGGCGTCGACCGTTTTGCGCCATACTTGGATCATCCGTCACCGCCTGCTCTCCCGGCCGGCTCGTGTCGCCCGGTCCAACAGCCTCTCTGCGGAGCTGGAATACTTTCGGCGGTTTCGGGCGCTACGATAAGACAACCTCAGGCATTTCGCGTGTGCCTTTCTGGACTGCAGTCGTGTCCGCCTCCGTGGTGTACAGCTCCCGGGCCGGCTGACGGGGGGGGGGGGGGGGGCGCAGGGTCCGCCTTCCATGCCTATTCACCGCATCACGCTGAATCCTTACAACGCCTCGTCCCTCCCGGTAAGTCGCAGCCGTCAGCTATGAGCCGGCTTTAGTGACGACCTGACGGGAGCCCTGTCCGAGCTCCCGGAGAGGCCCCGGAGAACGCTCCCGGGCCACGTTCGGGCTCCCGGAGAGACCCCGGAGAAGGCTTTCGAGTCTCGTCCGAGCTCCCGCGGAAGCCCCGGAGAAGGCCCCCGGGCCTCGTCCGGGCTCCCGCGTAGGCCTCGGAGAAGGCTTTCGAGCCTCGTCCGAACTCCCGGAGAGGCCCCGGAGAAGGCTTCCGAGTCTCGTCCGAGCTCCCGTGAAGGCCTCGGAGAAGGCTCCCTGTGTGGGGCATGAACGTAATCACGCCTTGAATTCTACTGCGGCCGGTGGCTGTTTTGGGACCATTTGTTATGGTCAAGACGCAAAGATAGTGTAATCTGCGCTATAGTCTCTGGGGTCCGGACTCGTTGCCGACCCCAGGGATGGTCACGCCAGTGGCGCAGGGGGAATCGGCAGTGGAAGACCTCACGGTGGCCACAGTCCCTCCGTACCACCCTCATCCTTCTTTCATCCCGGAGGCCGGGAGGGGTCATTACTGAGCGAGAGGACCCCTATCCCAACCGAATCAGACCAAACGGCGCGCGTGCACGAGCGGTGGAGTGTGGCCAGTGCTGGGGCGCGCAAAACCAGGTTCGGTGATCAAGTGAGCTTGTTTTCATGTCACTTGCGATCTGAAATTACCGCCCCGTTGACATGTCCCCGTTGCTGTGAGTGAGCACGCCTCTGGTGATCTCGGTGCCGTTCGTGCCGTTGGTGGCAACACAGCCCGATGTTACATCCGTCAAATGAACACAGACTGTAAAAAGGATTGCTTAAAACCACCGAATCAAGAAATTCACCGGTGGTAGACTCAATGGCGATGGCAGCTCGTGGGCAAGTGGAGGTCCAAATCTCCGAAATAGACCGCGTAAAGGCAAACAGGAAGTCAAACAGTCTGCAATACCGGCAGGCTGGGAGCCGATACACTTCCCGGGTTCGTCCTTTGGTCTTACGCATCTGGGACTTCGAATAGTGGCATCCACCGCCCGATGTAGTGGCAGGCTGAACACGTGGCTGCTGACCCCATCCGGGGACATAACGCAACCGGACCGCCCGTCAGCCACCTAGCGGGGCGTTAGCAGACTACCAGCCCCGCGTGGGCGTGATATGATGAGGGCAAGCATCGCGGAACATACGAGTGGAAAAGGATCGGACACCCACCCCCAGGCAATCTCTTTGATGCGTTGAGTGCCAGCCCACGCCGACTCATCGATGTCCATATGGGTGGCTGACCCGCAGGCGGACAGCTGAGGATAGCCTCTATTGTAACGCGCAGAGGACACGACGCGGCGCGGTGGCGGTAACGCATCCCCTTGATCACCCTCTGGAGTCGCCAATTATTGCGGTGGGGTTTGCATCAGCGCAAAATATAGAAGGGTTAGCAAGAAAAGTGTGCAGGTTGCATGACCCAGTCTCAAAAAGTTTCAAAACGGCAGGCTGGCGAACCTCAGATTGTGGCTTCTGCCGCGCTCAGCGTCGACACGCTCCGGCATCGACCAGTCGCTCGAAGACAGAATAATATTCTGGATTCTTCCCTGAAATGCTAAATAATATAACATATCGTGGTCAGCGTGTTACGCAGGGAGCAGCGTTAAGAAAGTATTACCAGTGTGCGTTTCCACCAGGTGCAGCCAAGTGAAATATAGCATTTTGGCCTTTTTGAGCGGAAAAATGTTCTTAAGATCGTAAGTTTGAAGTGTTAAGTAAGTTTGAACCAGTGGACATCTGCCTGCCACATATATTCGTGTCCCATTTCTGCTCAGAGGCGTGGTTAGTTCAGATGTGCAATTGCGCGTCAGATAAATGACAACCGCTCCGCATTAGTTGTAGTCATGATGATTCAGCGCTTACGGCGTGCCGCCACTGCTGTTGTGTTTGTGGTCGATTATCTTGTTAACATCCTTCTGGTGTGATGAGAACTCCTGGCAGCAAAGCAAATGTCTGCACACAGTGCGTCACGAACCTGGGAATCTGCTAGCTGCTGTGTCCCCGCCTGTGACTGTCCCCCGAAACGGTTGACAGTCTGCTGTAGCGTCCCGTCCCAGCGCACCCGTGGCAGCTGAGTGTTGACCTTCCTCGCAGCCTGTCTCTGATGCCGTCCATCTCCTCAGCGCACCCGTGTCTGCTGAGTGCAGAACCCCTCGTAGCCTGTCTCTGACGCTGTTCGTCTCTCCAGCGCACCCGTGTCTGCTGAGCGCAGAACCCCTCGCGGCCTGTCTCTAATGCCGTCCACCTCCCCTGCGCACCCGTGTCTGCTGAGTGCTGACCCTCCCTGTGACCTGCCTCTGACACCGTCCGTCTCCCCAGCGTACCTGTGGCTGCTCATCATCTTGGTGGGCATCTCGCCGGACGTGGTGGAGATCTGGGAGGCGGCCGTCACGTTCGCCTTCTTCCCGCTGATGGTGGTTCTCTCGTGGGCGGCCGAGCGCAACTTCTTCGCCGCCCCGTCCGGAGACAAGCAGATTGAACTCGGACGCTTCAAACCAGGTGGGTTTTGGCTAGCCGAACCCGGCTGGGCATTGGTCGAACAGACTCCGAGAAGTGTTCCTTTTTTGTTTTGAAAGTCGCTTCATTTTGTTTGTTTAATGGATTAATTGTCAGTCACACAGGAATGGAGCTTCAGTTGGTAATCGGTCTCTTCTTGGTCAGCGTGTCTTTAAGCCTGACCTCGGCCGTGCCGCGGGCTCGGAAAGGGGCGGCCGCCTGCTCGGAGAGAGACGGCTGTTTGCTTGGAAAGGGTCGGCCGCAGGCTCGGAAAGGGACGGCCGTGGGCTTAGAAAGGGACGGCTGTGGTTTCGGAAAGGGACGGCCGCGGGCTCGGGAAGGGACGGCTGTGGCCTCGGAAAGGGACAGTCGTGGGCTCGAAGAGAGACGACCACGGGATCGGAGAGAGACGACCGCGGGCTCAGAAAGGGCAGACCGCGGGCTCATAGAGAGACGGCCGCGGGCCCGAAGAGAGGCGGCCACGGGCTCGGAGAGAGACGGCCCGGACTCGGAAAGGCAAGACCGCGGGCTCGTAGAGAGACGGCCGCGGGCTCGTAGAGAGACGGCCGCGGGCTCGGAGGGAGATGGCCACGGACTCGGAGAGAGACTGCTGTCTGAGAGACTGAGACCTCGGAAAGGGATGGCAGGGGCCCTTCCACTGTTGCCAAAATGCATTTGTGTTCCCCCGCATTGGTCATAAAATGACGTGTTTCATCATGCCACTGGAAAACAAATCAGTTCTCTTCGGGCTGCTTCTCAGATCCCGATGTGCTCCTTTATTTTCTTGGACTTGAGTGAGGACGGGAGGTGGCAGTACAGACCGTTTGCTGCACTCGCCCAGCGTAAGTTGTGTTGACCGGCGAGAGTGACGTGGGGCGATGACGCCGCCGACAACCAATCAGTCCGCACTCGTGTGCTCCGAAGCGCACCGCTCATCGCTGTTTCACCAGCGTGTGTACACGAGGTATCGTGGTATTCAATGGACTGAATGCTGCCTCAGAGGCATTTCGACTTGGTCCCCGAATGGAAGCGTCATACCGCTGTTTGCTCGGCCAAGTTTGCGCGAATGGCCGGCAATACGGCTGCACTGGGACCGATCAAGATCCTCATCACCGCAATCATGACCGAGCGTTGGCAGGGTTAGCCCGGCTCACGACGGTCTAAACCGTCTCTGGACGGTCTAAATGAACCAAGCTCACGTTCCCTGTTCGTGCGCGAACCATCCGATGCACAGGGAAGTGTGCTCCGTTGTGGTAGGAAGTGTCGGCAACGAAGGATCAAAAGGTGACGTCGCTATGAACGCTTGGCAGCCACTAGGCAGATATCCCTGCGGTGTCGATTCGGACATCTCTCGCTTAAAGCTCGTAAAATCCAAAGAATCGGTGGGCCGCACTTAGGTGGTCCGTATTGAACGGAGTATCCAGATGAGAGGAAGTGTTCCACGTCTGTGTGAGGTTTTGAACTGAAATAGCCAACTTGAAGATCATTCGGTCGTGTTTTCAGCCCTGCCCTTCTTTAAGACCTCTAGTTTCCGAGCTACGCACCCGCGAAGATGTGCAGCCTATTTCGTGCTGATTTTTCGAGGTCACCCAGATAGGTATCATGACGAACTGTCAGGAGCAAAACTGTCCAGTCGTTCATACTTGGCGTGTGTGAGCACGATATTCATATATGACAGCCGTTAATGGCCTTTCAGTCAATGTTGTGCTAGGTGCGATGACATTATCAGACAATGGCATATTGAGGAACATATTTACTAAAAAGATGAATTGTGTTGTCTAGAGCAGCCTTTTCCTCTTAAAAGCATACCAAAAGTTAGAAGTGAGCTTATTTCATGATATCTAAGGCCCGCTTTAATGTCTTCAAATATGGAACACTTACTTTAAGCCAGCTTGCACCATCTTGCTCTAGGAGCCGTTTCGGTCGCCTGTAGCAGGCCTTCGGCCACCTGCGTTTGGCAGATGTACCGCCCCAGTCAAGCTCCCCACCTGACTGTCCCTCGGTGTGAATCGGTGGACGGCAAGCCGCCTGCGCCTTGAATCGAGAATTGCTAACACCGGAGAGCCCTTTTCCCTTCCCCTTTTTACTAGTAGGTCATGGAACAATGGAACCTGTGCACTCGTATAACTGGTGTGGGGAGGAATTATCGGTAACAGTTTTACAGAAGGACCGAGGCGAGGTATTAGTGTCGCACATGGACCAAGTTTTCGGAATATCCCCTGTCATCGGGTGTTACGAAGCCCTGGGAATGACTGGATGACATTTAGCTTTCAGTCATGTATGCGTCCTTCCCGGTCAGCTCAGTCCGTTGATCACTGAACTCGCAATCAGAAGCCCTGTTTTGAATCCCAGCAATTGCAAAGCAAAAATTCCGGTCGTGACACATACGTGGCCGATAGCCAAACACCGTACAGTCCTTCCCAGAACTCCGCGATGCCTGGCGACGGCCGAAGATTTAACTGAGCCATTTTTGTGTCATTTGATGTGCCTCTCGGCTCCAAAACGTTCATTTTGCATATTTGTCTTAGAAGCCACCGAAGAAAACATTCACCGCCAATGCTCGTGCAAAAAAGCAAATAAACAGCCTCTCTCGGCGTTATCTCTCCGCGGATGCTTTGGCCGACTACGAGGCGCAGCTTGCCACCTGCAGCGGCGCGTAAGCTGGCGACCCTGACACGGCATGACGTGCTCACGGTATGACCCCCCCCCCCGTCTCCCCCCCCCCCGTTATGCGCGGTCATATCGTACGCAGCGCGTACGAGCCATGCATCACCGCCGACGACCGAGTGGTGCTTTGAGTGGAGGCTCGTCGCTGCCGCAGCCATAAGCCGGCTTTCAAGTGCCGCTGTGGTGGTGGAGGGCTCTCGGTGGTCCGATAAAGCCTCGCAGCTGGACCCGGTCTCAGGTGGTAGGAAGGCCCTCCAGTGGCGAATCTAGCGGTGATGTGTTGGAACCGATGCGACGGAGCCAAACGCAAGCGATCACGTGGAAGCGAAAACATTACGATATGTAATGTGTTCGCCTCCACGTGAACCACTGTATTGTCTCATTGGCAGTGGCCGGGGGTGCTATGATGTGTAAAACTCACGGGGCTTTATAGCATTGTGCACTCTAAATCGTGCATCCAACAGCGTGCCCCTTTCCATGTACACTTTATGGTCTGGTCCGTTGGTCCATGGTCCATTTCCATTAAGTGGTCTGGGACAAACGACCTCGTTCTGATCGCGGCTTTCTGATCATATCAGTGCTCGTTTATGGTGGACACGGCAATAGCTTGTGAATGAAGGCAAAGCTCACCAAATGAGGCGTCATTCAAGAGTTGTTATAGATCTGCACCGACGCTGCTCTTTTGACGCCGTAATGCCGTGTGTTGTCCAGCATTCGACGTGGCTGTCAGGAACTTTCTGGTGGCGTTGATGGCTTTGCCAGAGGTCGAAGACCGTTTTCCGTACCGGGAAAATGTTTCGGCTGGTGTTTGCCCAACTAGTCTTATCTGGCGATCAGTTCCCGTGCGTTGTCAGCGCGCTGTCATGTCATGCTCTGAGAATGTCCTGCTGCCATGTCATGCTCTGAGAATGTCGCGCTGCCATGTCATGCTCTGAGAATGTCCTGCTGCATACAACTAGACAGACGAAAGCTGACCAAAACTCCTGCCTGAATTAGAAACAGTCGATCGGCTTCCCTGGAACCGCATTGGACAAAGCCGCCCTTTCAGATTGGCCGTTGTTAATTGGGCTGCCAAATAATGTCATGTAACGTCGACTGCCGAATACGACGCCCTTGTGCACAGATGCAGCGCATTAACAGTAACTGTCAGTGTCGACAAACGCGTGGAACAGGCCACCCTGGGAAACTCGGCGTGATGGGTTGGCGCCATCCGGCATGTTGAGAAGATTTTCTACGTTACAAAGCAACATTGGTTGCAGCATACCTTTAATACTGCGGCATCATTGCGTGGTGCCGGCTCTGTCACAAATAAAGAATGCAATCATAGATCGGAGACAATGTGGTTAGATATCTCGTTCCAAAGTTACCATGAACATGGCGTTGGTGGGAGGCGTAGCAACTCACGTTATAAACGTGTTGATATAATCTGGGCACCTTTGGTTGCGCTGCTTGTACGATCGATGCGATTGTTGTGTCTTGGGCTTCCTTTTTCCTGTCACGTAGGTGTCACCACCCAGCGCATATAAATTGTACCTATACTAATCGGTATGAACAGAACGCGTGTCTCGCTTGCATGACATTTAAACCAGCATTGCCGTCGTCCGCGGTAGTTGATCCGGCGCAGACTTTGCCTCGCGCTCATTGGCGGAAAGCTTTACGTAATCTGCCGGGCCGCCAAACACGCTGTAGTAAGCTGGGAGTCACGCAGACTTTGCGCATTAGTTGGCTAACGTATGTCGCTTCGTCATAACTTGCGGTTGTTGCTCGCGTCGTTGTGTCGGAGGGACTGCCGCTGTGACCGCAAGGCTGTTGTGTTGGCGTCAAGGCTGGATTGTTTCCTTTTAGCTTCGTCGGAAGCATCAGGGCTGTATCGGTGGCCATCGAATGATGACTGCAAGCCCTGAATGATGAATAGGACAATACTGAAGACAATTTTTGTCCGGTGATGGGGAGCATGGATGACGTCACTGGTCGGCTGAAATGTAGTGGATTTTTCAGCATCGTAGTACACCTTTAATGGTACTGGCATAACGCCAAACATGTATTTTCAGCAAGCGACATTTGGTGATGGGCTTTCACACATTTAATCATGACTTACAAAGGCAACCTGGCGCAAATTTCTTGTCACAATCAAGTGCTGTCGGAGACCACGCCTGGGTCCAGCCAGCTCTTTCAGCAATGGGTGCACGCGAGCTTCGTGCATACCCTGCGCCGAATTCACAGCTGCGTGCGTATCCCGGCACTGCTGCGCGTGGACGGCGGGGCAGGGGTGGGGTGGGGATGGGGGATGGGAGATGGAAATTAAAGGCGGGGACGGCTGCTGCAGGCGGGATGCGCAGGGTCATGGATCGTGAGATCCTTATCTGAGTTCTGACGGACGAAGTGACGTTAAAAAATTGGTGGTGTTAAGTCGAAGGACGAGGAGCTGAGCACTTTTACCGCGTTACCAGTGCCGACACAAATAATTCGATGAGCGCGCTTACTTATCGTGTGCGCGGACAAGTTTCAAGTTTTTTTTCCAGCGGACAAGTTTTCGCGAGACATCCAGTACTTCAAGGACGGAGAGCTCAACAAGGACGCCCTGGTCAGCTTCGTCAGGGAGGTTAAGAAGCTGAACCCCAAGATCAGTGACGAGGATGCCGCCGTCCTCGCTGCCCAAAAGTAAGACGTGGGACGGTCTGGGCACTTGGCCTCCACAGAGAGCCAAATTGTCGGTGGTTGCTATTTCCCGCTATTCCGGTGCAAAGAGCTTGCATGTTCTTTTCCTTGATAACTGATTTTTCGTGTCACCCGGATCCAGGAGCGTTGTGTTTGAGGTTGTGTGCTGGTCTGCCTAGCTACTTGCAGGCAGTAGCACACCGATTTACGTGGACTTACGGAGCAATTCTATGTGGATACGCCGTAGTCATTCGTGCTGAGTGGTGCTCTCCAATGATGCGGGGACAATGGGCTAACGGTCTGCTCTCGAGGGTGGTACTTCAGAATTTACCCTGTAATGTGTGTGGTGACGTCATCTGTGGGAGGCAATGAGCGAACGATATGCTCTCGAGGATGGTACTTCAGATTTACCCTGTAATGTGCGATGACGTCATCTGTATTGTCAGCTGATAAGCATGCCACAGCTCCCAGCGTACGCCACTGGCGCAGTTAAACACGCGCTGTTAGCACCTCTGGATGACTGCTTTGTCGCTTTAGAAGCTTGGAAGCGTGGAGCTTTGGGGGTAGTTACGGGTACAAGTCACCTGCACGATAACGGTATTCATTTCATTCAGTCAAAGCCCTGTCCCAGCGTCCCTGTCAACGGCGCCGCCGGCCAGACCGAAGCGGCGATTTGCGGCTACGGCATCCGTTTGAAAATACTATTGGTCGTCTGTAGAGAATGTGAACCCGTACACACCTTGTCATTGAGAGGAATCACGCATGGGAAGACATGACCTGTTGCGTTCAAATCCCCCTTGACGACGCCCTGCTGGCTATGGCCGACGGGCCTGTATCGTGATGCCCGGCCTCCGGCGGCCCAGGTAAATACATTGGCTCGAGGAGGCTGTGGCTGTGTCCATTCGATAGCGCTACTCAGCTAGGAGTACAAACCAATCAGATAGAAGCACAACCCACTTGTGCACAATAGGTGCACTAACGGCACTTATTTTGTTCGGTCGAACACTGCAAACCAAATATAAAAGCCAAGGACTTTTGAACACGCTTGGCGCCATTTCGCATAGTGCCTTGACGCTTGACCTAACGAGACCCGTATGCTGGCATGACGTGACCTCCACAGTAACATGGCCTGGCCTGGCTACTGCTGACAGGTTGACCTCTGACCTGGCCTGACCTCTGACCCCCGCCGGCAGACTGGTGGACAGTCAGCACCACTCGAGGCTCTGGTACCGGATCGGAGCCACTCGCAACATCACAGGCTCCCGCAAAACGGTCCCCAGCATGAGCATGAAGCTGCAGCAGGTGCGTAGGCCCGTGGCCTCTAGTCTGCTGTTTGGTTTGTTCACCGTTTTTTGGCCGAGCTGGTTTTACGGCGTGGTTATGAGGGACTGCGTGGCGTGTTTTTTATAGGGATCACGTAAATGAGCGTGGGGCGCAGCGTGAGTACTCCCTCCTGTGCGAGGCACGGGGGAGAGTGCTCCGTTGGGAGCGAGTGCTTCGCTGTGGTCGGCAATCAGTTGTGTATTCTATTCCGTTGTATCGTGCCGTGGCTGTGTAGTTTCCTACGTGCGCCTCAATGCTTTGCCAAGTGACAGACTAAATGCGCCAGTTGACTGGACTTAATGTTAACGTTACGGCGCATGGGCATACATCTTCATGGCTGTTTCACAACTCCGATACATATGGGGCGATGTCCGTTGCGGACATTTGACCCAGGTGCGTTGGTTCGAGCACACAACAGCCGCCAGCTGCGCCGCTTACGCCTCCTTGCAGCGCGCCGTGTCTGTAGGCTGACAGCTGTCTGTGCCGCGTCGTAACGACCGCCTCCGTTCCCAAAGCGCTCAAAGCTAGAAGAAGTAGGTACTGTACGGTCGCTAGTAGCCCTGTACGCTGCCCTTCTTCGTAACTGTGCCGTGCGCGGGCGCGAGCAGACCGGTCTCGTGACTCGCTGGGGTGCCTGGCATGGCTGTGCAAGTCTGCTCCTACTCTGCCCCCTAGCCGCGAACCCGCGGCGATAGCGGCGGGCTGTTTTTCGTAGCTGCAGCGACGGGGCCGCACCGTCCCGGTCGGGGGGGTGCGGCCCCTCCCAGCGACTTGGCCGCACCGTCCCGGTCGGGAGGGTGCGGCCCCTCCCGGCGACGGGGCCGCACCCTCCCGCACCCTCCCGGTCGCTGGAGGTCGGCTGCTTCGCGGTGATGCTGTAGTGTCCGTAGTGCTCTGTGCATCGTCAGTCAAACGAGCGGTCATGAAATGTGACGGCGAAGTCATCTGGGTCAAAGGTCGCTGTGGCTCTTTTCCGGTTTTGCCCATGACTTCGGATACAGTTTTGCTGCTTATGTCGCCATTCGTATTGCTCTTCCGCACCTTCTTAAACTGGACGCATCCGTTGCTTACGCTTGGTGCCACCAAACTAAGCTCTCGCATGTGTTCGACAAACTCAAGCCAGGTACCCTATTTGATGTGCGTAATGCTTGTTAAAACACATACCCAGCATCTGAACTAATCTGTGTGCTTCCTGTTTTAAATTAGGTGTTCGCTCAACTTAGAAAGGTATGCAGTTCATGTATAGTCTTGGACTTTATGTAGATACTGCACTGTATGTTGTGCTCATGTGTGAGTATGCATGTGTAGAGTGTCTTCTGGAATACTTCCTGTAGTTTTGCACGTAAATCAACACCAGCCCCACATATTTTTGGTTTTGGTTGAGGGGAATGGCTTCCTCACCAGATTCCGACTAGTTTAGCCTCTATTTTGAGACAAACTTGACTGTTTTGAGACAAAGTGTTGCCCTGCCTCGTACGCACGTCACCCGCCATCGTGTCGACACACACCGTGTTGAGGGCGCGCTCAGGCCCTTATCCGTGACACGGGTGTGGCCTGGGAGGCGTGGCCAGTTTCGTCGCGATAAGGATGCATGTCGTCATCATAGTACGTTGGGAAGGCCAGGTCCCGTACTTGCCCTGCGCGTCACCCACTTTGAATCTCGACCAAGTACTCAAAGGTCAGATAGTGTACATACCAGTGCATGCGTTTTGCCGTGTTAGGTGCTGTTTCTCAGCTGTATCGGCGTTGTAGTGACAACTATCCGGACAATTCAGACAAACGAGATCTGCCAGCATTGTGCTACCTATGACGAAACCATGTCACCCCTTGCCGCATCATGCCGCTAATCATGCTACGACACTGCAGCTTCCCGTCCGCAGAGCGTCGCACCTCTCTGTCGACATTCCACGCAGCACGGAAGGCGCCGTCGCTCGCCCCATCCCCACCAATGCTCACGCGTAGACAGGGTGCCGGGCGGGGCGCGATTGTCCCCGACGGAAGACCCCGGGCGGCGCACCGCCGCCGTCGCACCGGAGCGGCTCTGACGCGACGTGCGACGGCGACGGCTGGCGTCGGCCGCCGTGCAGTGATCCTCGATGCGAGCCCTCGGGTGCCGCCGTCGAGCCAAAGCCACAGCGTGCGGCGCGGCGCGGTAGTACCAGTCACGTCCGTTGACATTGTGTGGCCGGCGACCCGGCCGTGCCTGCAGCGGGCGCGGCGAGGTGGAGATGACGTCACGCATCCGGGGCGGTGCGCGATAGCGAAGGCGTCGCGGGCGTCGATCTGTGGAAGCCGGCGCTCTTCCGGCGTGTGGGGGACTTATCTCGGCGATGTCATGGACGCCGAAACGTATCGCCTGTGCGTGCGCTTATCGAATCAGCGATAAAGATAGTGCCGCTGCGGGCCGTCTCGCTGTCGCTGAGAACTACGACCGGAAGGCTGGGCGCAGAGCGAAGCGAGCCGGGTCTCAAATGGTTCGAGATGTTCGGTTGGAAACTTTGGACACCAGGGACGTTGTTCAGGCGGGGAACTGCGGTTGCCTGCCCGCCGGGCACCAGCTCCCGTCGGATGGCAGCAAGTGTCACAACTTCAGTGCTGTGGGCGTGGTTGACGGGATTGCTTGCTTCCGGCGTCATCGCGGCGTAATTCGATGGGACCATGGGCTTACAAAGAGGAAGCAGATTTATCAAGAGAGGCTGGCTCACAGCAAGCTGCCTCTTTTCCTCTCAGGCTGCCGAAGCAGGCAGGGGCGCTGGGACGCATGATGCCTTTGATGCAATCCGTTTGCATCGGGTAACGTTATATATATTTATCTGGTTTCGTACATGGTCGTCTTGCGAGTGTAGGTAGCCAGATTGAGCACATTTCTTCACATGCTCTGCATGCTCACGGATCTGGGAGAAGAGGTACGTGCTGGCGAGCACCGAGCATTCAAGCGAGTGTGACCACCGCCCCCCTCTCCAGCGAAGCAATACTCACAGCGAACTGATGCGGTGTGCCCGTTGGCATCCCACCTCCGCCGTGTCGGTGCGTTCCCGTCCCAGATGCGTACCACGCTGGCGTCCCCCATTCACCAGATGTACACCAGTCTGACGCCCGTGTTTACCACACTTTCCCTCGCTGACCTCCCATGTGCACGTGGTCTAACATCCGTGTGCACGTGATCTGACACCTACACATACCACGTTCTCACGCGCTGGTAACGATTGTGCACCAGATTTACAACACGCTGACACCAAGTGTACACCGCGTTCTCATACGCCGACACCGGTGGTGCGCCCAGTTTACACCACGCTGACACCGGTGGTGCGCCCAGTTTACACCACGCTGATACCGACCATGCACCAGGTGTACACCACGCTGACACCGGCCCTGCACCAGGTGTACACCACGCTGAACGAGCACCCGGACGCGCCCACGCTCGGCGAGGTGCCGTCCGTGGACCAGACGGAGAACGCCATTCTGGAGTTCCACGCGGCGACGGCGCACGTGATGGAGAACATCGGCAAGTTCGAGATCACGGTCATGCGCTCGGGCCTCACCGACACCGAGGTGCAGTGCAGGTCAGTGCAGCGGCGCGCGACAGGGGCTCTGTCGGGAACTCGTAGGTGGTGCAATAAAGGGGTTCATTGTGTGTGTGTGTGTGTGTGTGTGTGTGTGTGTGTGTGTGTGTGTGTGTGTGTGTGTGTGTGTGTGTGTGTGCGTGTGCGTGTGCGTGTGCGTGTGCGTGCGTGCGTGCGTGCGTGCGTGCGTGCGTGCGTGCGTGTGTGGCAGCGATTTCGGAAGTGCGGCCAGCGGCGGTGTGAGCAATCAGTCGGCTGATATCGGTGTATTTTTCAGCGTGCAAATTTTTGAATGCCTAGGTTGTAAAGGTGATATGTGTTCGGAAGGTGCGTAATAAAACACATAATTGGGTTTGTGGGTCAATTTTTCGGTTTTTTGTGTATCGTATGAAAAGTAGCTGACTTCGATGCTTCCCACCTCAATCCTACGTGGTGCATCAGGTGCGTTGTTTCAATGATCGCACCGATCCAGATCGCTGCGTGAGGTCTTCTCCCGGCTAAGTTGTCTGGCTGTGGAGGTTTTGTAGTGTTGGATGGGTCCTCTGACACCTGGCTGATGCCGTTGACGGACATGCCGCCCGGCTGCCGCAGGGTGGACACTATCGACGGCACGGCCACCGTCAACGAAGACTACGTCGGCATCGACGAGGTGCTCACCTTCGGTCGTGGCGAAGTCGAGAAGCAGGTCAGCGGGGCGTAAAGGGCGGGCCGTGCACACCACTGGCCCAGGCAGGACGTGTAACATGGCGGTAGAGTGGAGGTCGCTGGTCTCAAGGGCGTGTTTGGGGAACGAATAGCGTTGCACGAGAGGTGGGTTGGATCGACTTGCTTTTTTTGGTTCAAGTCTTTTCTTTGGGTTCCGCGAGACCTGAAATTATATTTTCTAAGAAGAAATTACAAGTTGTTAACTTAATTACGGCTGGAACGTGACATTTAACGATGACGTGAAACATAACTGGAACGTAAAAGCTCACTCAACCGTAACACCTAGCTGCGATGTAATACATCACCAACGCATGATCGTGTCGTAAATTGAGACGCAAGGTGTAACTGTAGCGTACATTTTAACATCCAACATCACTACCGTAACGTGTAGCGCTAACTGAACTTGACGTGAACTGAACTCGAACTGAGCGCCGGCCTCTAACTGATGAGCTTGACGTTCGCAGGTGACGGTGCAGATCATCAATGATAACCAGTGGGAGCCGGATGAAGAGTTCTTCATCAAGCTGTCGCTGCTGCCGGAGGACAAGGAGCGCGTGGGCGTCGAGATCGGCCGGATCTCCATCATGGAGATCACCATTCTCAACGACGACGGTGAGCGGTGGAAGGGGACCTGTCGCTTTATCTGACGGGCTCACGGGCGTGGCATGGAAAGCTGTGAGTAATCGCGACACGACATCTTGCAGTCGATTGCGTTGTCCAAATGATCACACAAAAATAAGGACATGTCGGTAAGACACAAGCTTCTTCTCTAGGATGCACTGAAATGCGAAACACGAGAAGGAACACATCACTTCAGCGACGTGTTTCGTACCGCCCGCGAGGCAAGACTGTCGCGCCGTGCCTCGCCAGCACCGGCGCTGCCTCGCGCTCCGGGCTTTCTCACCATGCCTTGCCAGCATCGGCGCTTCCTCGCGCTCTGGGCTGTCGCACCGTGCCTCGCTGGCACCGGTGCTGCCTCGCGCTCCGGGCTGCCGCCTCGTGCCTCGCTGGCACCTGCGCCGCCGGCTGAATCCGTGTCCCTCTGGAGCCCCGAAGTCCCCTGCCCCGCCCGACGCGGCCGTCGCCGTCCCCAGAGCCCGGCAACGTGCAGTTCACCAAGCGCGGCTTCCTGGTCAACGAGTCGATCGGCAAAGCGCAGATCCCGGTGGTGCGCAAGAACGGCGCCGACGGCGAGATCTCGGTCAAGTGGCGCACCATCGACCGCTCGGCGCTGGCCGGCAAGGACTACGTCGGCGGCGAAGGCGTGCTGGTCTTCAAGCACACCGAGGTGGGTGGGCCGGAGCACGGGCGGAGGGAGGAAAGGCTGGCGGAGGGAGGATGACTGACGGAGGGAGGGGGGAGGGGGGGGGGGCTGACGGAGGTAGGAAGGGGTCAGTCCTAAGTGCATGTTGTGCCCATGTCCCAGCGCAAAGAACAGTTCATGGAGAGTCTCTGGGTAACATCGTTCGGGATATTGCATCACAATGTCGTGCTTGCCGTCTGCACCACTTCCGGTACCCGTCTGATAGCGAGAAGTTCCCAAGCGAAGGTTGCATTTACTGACGCTAGATGTCTCTGCCCGTCCGCAGACGGAGCGTCTGCTGGAGATCCCGATCACCAACGACTTCTGCCCGGAGAAGGACGAGCACTTCGAGATTGAGCTGTTCGATCCGACAGGCGGCGCGCGCATCGGCCGCGTCAACCGCACCGCCATCACCATCATCAGCGACGACAGTACGTGATGGCGCTCTGGTGACGTCTGAGGATGTCATGGTGTTTGTGGTGCAGACATGGGCGGAAAATTCTAAAAGGATCCCAGGATCCCATAGAATGAAATTCTCTTGGATCCTAGATTTACCACTGGGATCCCAGCACATGCTCGCCTTGATGTGTAACTGATTTTGTACCAGTCTCAAGAACATCAACCACGTCTTATGATGTGAGTTGATGATAAAGCGCCTAGTTTGCAGTCATTGTGAGCAGTATTGTCTTGTTTTGTATGATATTATGGATTATTTTTAATTTGTACGATATTATTCAGTAATTTCGATGATGTTAGCCATTATTTTTTCGATGTATTCGTCATAATTTTTATTTTTATGATTATATTCATGTTGTGTAGTATTACAGCCGTTGCTATCAACATTACGGCCATTAAATGAATTAGCATATCGGTCACTAATGATTGAAGTTCTTGAACTCGTGCGCGTCCTCCGCAGACTTCAACACAGTCATCTCACGGCTGATGAACCTCACCAACGCCAACATCCACGCGGTGGAGATCCACAAGCGGACGTGGGGCGAGCAGATCTGCGAAGCCATGACCGTCAACGGTGGCGACGTCGAGAACGCCACCGGCATGGACTACGTCATGCACTTCGTCACGTTCTTCTGGAAGGTGCTGTTCTCGCTGGTGCCGCCGTCCAGCCTGGCCGGCGGCTGGCCCTGCTTCTTCGTCTCGCTGGGTGTCACCGGCGTGGTGACGGCTATCGTCGGCGACCTGGCCTCCATCTTCGGCTGCTTGGTCGGCCTCAAGGACAGCGTCACAGGTGAGCGTGAGCCCGCGCCGGGGGGATCGGAAGTGGGAAGGGACGCGTCGGATGGCGTCCCGGCGCATGGCGGGGTGATGCAGTCGCCCTGCGGACTTTTTGTTGCCGCATGCAAGATGTCTGTGTTCACCTGGAGCAGCATGCCAAATGCTCTCGACTAATTCCTCGAGTGAGCGGATCTTTGATCTGGGCGTACGTTAGACAAGCGGCTTCCCAAACCCTCCGCGTCATCTTCAAAAAAATTATACGGGACCCCGGATTGGGAGCAGGGCATTGCTCTCATCACCAGAAAACGGAGGCGACTTAATTACGACGCCTGGGGGAGAGAGGCAAAGCGTCTGGCCTCGGTCGCCTCTCCCGCGATCGCACGGGTCCCTCCTTAACCGCGCCGCCGCACCGCAGCCATCTCGTTCGTGGCGCTGGGCACCTCGCTGCCGGACACCTTCGCGTCGCGCACGGCGGCGATCAAGGAGAACTACGCCGACATGGCCATCGGAAACATCACCGGCTCCAACAGCGTCAACGTTTTCCTCGGTCTGGGCCTGCCCTGGCTCATCGCCTCCATCTACCACGCCATCAAGAGCAAGGTTAGTGAACCGTGCCGGGTGCGGGAGGGACAGAGACGAGGGACATAGACGAGGGACATAGACCATAGCGGGAGGGACATAGACCATAGCGGGAGGGACACAGACCATCCGACGTGTAGACGGGGCGAAGCGATCCGGCTTGGCTCGCATGCTACTATCAGCGGAGTTGCGTCATTCCGGACTCGCACATGGGCGTGCTCGTTCCCGTCCCCGCTTGTGCGATCCTACGCAACTATCGGCGCTCTGTCTCATGGGTGAGATCGATGACCTTCATCATATGGCTCTCGCCTTTCCCGAGGGCCGAATTCTGACCGAATCGCCTGATTGCCAGCTGTCTAGCGTCGGGCGAACCCTCGCGCGCGTCCCCCTGCGGTGGGCGGCGCTGCGTCGCGGCTCCCTCGCCGATTGCCGCCTCCTCCCACGCACGCGACGTCGTCCTGACCTGACCTGACCTGACCCTGACTCGCCCCAGGACGGCAAGTTCAACGTGCCTAGGGGCTCACTGGCGTTCAGCGTGGCCATGTACACCATCTGCGCCACTGTCTGCGTCGCCATCATCCTGATGCGCCGCTACGTGAAAGTGTTCGGGCCCGGCGAGCTCGGCGGTAGGTGGCGCCACTGAGGCCGCCAGGCTGCCACGGCCAGGAGGCGGTCCGTGCGACGGTCTGCTGACGGGTTGGGTGTGGCCTAGACAGACTTGGTGCTTATGTCACCTCTTATATGCAATGTGCCGGAGTGAGTGGGCGGAAAAAGTGGAAGTCGGTTCTGTGTCTTACAGAAAGGATTCAGCGTTTTGGACTGGGCTGTGACCTGGGGTTAAGTGACAACATGAGGACGAGAGGAGGATAAGGCGCAATATATGCATATACCTTAATTCAAGTCATTAGGGCACACTGTCATGTGTAACGCAACTTGCAATACTCCCAAGCGGACTGTTTACCTTTAGATTCGTGCATATGAACAATCGGTAGCGCGAGATCTCCTTTTTCTTCGCCTGTTCTGTGTTAGTGGTGATGCACTCCTATTGGCAGGACCACACTCACGGCATCACCACGTTTGGTCCGTCAAAATACCTCCGTTTGAGTAATTGCACTGAGAAAATGTTGTTTCGTAAGTCAGTTGTTCAGCCGCAACAAATGTAGAAGAACGGAATTGCTGTCTACCTAATAATATCACCGAATAATGTCACACCGATGTGGCCTAAACATGCCGCAATTTCGGAACATGCAAGTGATACCGCCTTTCTTATGGTCTGTGTCGGAACCAAAGCCTTTATAAATATGGGGGCGTTAAGAACTAAGGGCGAGTGAATGACAACATAGCGTATGAGTCGGTATATGCCACAACTTCCTGCGTATGAGAGTAGTAACAACATATGTAAAAGATAAGATGTATAATAACTATGAGAAGCAATTTTGTTCTGGTAGGTCCAATTCCCTTAACATAACTTTCTGGTACGCATTCGTCGCTTTCTCCTAAGTCTTGATCCGCCCGACTTTCTCCAGCCCAAACATTCACATCCCACCCGCGTCTTTTTCCACTCCACATCCATTTCCCATTTCACGTCATTTTACGTCCATTCTGACCGCGCTCCTACCTTGCTTGTCTATCCCTTCCAGTTTCGACCAACCGATCCGCTGTTCGCCGTCCCCCCCCCCCCCCCCCACACACACACACTGATCATCACAAGTACCAATATCAATGGCTCCGATTTAAAAACCCCTTTGGTCCCGTTGTATACCACCGCATTGTTGTTATGGCGGGTGTTCTGCGAACGATGGCATATCGTGTAGTGCTTCTCTGTGCGTGCTGTTTGTTTGCACGAGTTTCCTGTCGTCTTGTTTGTCTCAGGGGCATATTTCCATAAATGGGTTGGGAGTGGTTGAACAGGAACAAATGTTCCCCGTCCCCCAGCATATGCTACTGAGCTTGTTTCTCACTAGATTTGGCCCTCTTTTGAAGTCCTTTTGCTCACACCCTTCTCATGCCCCGTTGTTGACCCTGTTTGCTCAGAGGCTGTTTGCAGCCGTTGCTGCTGTCCGGCTGAGGCTGTCCGCCTCTGATGACGGCCGCTCTGTTCGCAGGACCTGCCGCGCCCCGCTACATCAGCGGCATACTCATCTTCAGCTTGTGGATCTTCTACCTGGTGATGTCGTCTCTGCAGGCCTACGGCCACATTTCCGGCTTCTAGGCGCCATTCGCGAGGGCCGCACGACGGGTCGTATACCAGTGACGTCACACTTGTTTCCTGTGTGTCCCCGTGTTGCAAGCTTCACACCGGTGGGGAATGCCCTGAGCCTGACGTCGCTGTGGGAGGACTGATCGGATGTTCGGCTTTGGGGCGCCCTGGCTGGCCCCCGGCTGGAACCGTCGCCTCTGTTCGTAGTGTCGCTTCGCGGCGGCCATTTTGAAATGGCTTTTTCTGAAAAGACGGGGCGAGCACAGCGTGGCGTCGGTCAGAATTAACGTCGTCTGGCGGATGTAGTAGTGTTGCCAGATGGTGGAGCTGAGGCTGCCAGATCGGAGAAGTAGCCCGGCCAAGTGAAGGAGACCGAAGTGTGTCTGGTTGGCAGATGTTGGTTGGAATGCGAAGTCGTATGGTTGTTCGTGTAAGGCTGCTTAGTCTGAGGAAGTCAGTGAGTTTCGAATAATTTTGTTCGAATCACGCTGGACTTTTCACTGGTCGATGCGTTAACGTGTGTGTGCGCGCGCGCCCTATTGGCTAGTAGTGACTGCCTCGTTTTAGATGCAAGCTTTACAATGCGGTGTGTGGTAAGGGCTCGGTATCGATCTGTGTGTTTCATTATCTACCACTCAGGTCATCAGATAAGTTACGCCCAGCTGCTTAATGTTTCGACGCGTGCTTATCTGCCATCTCCGATACAGTGGTGCTCGCAAGCTTTATCGCGAGTTTGTTCTGCTCTGTCTAGTGTGTTTTGCATTCAACGCCTCATCAGCGTGTTTATGGCTCGGGATCCTCGCCTCTAAGGAGGGAGTTGGCCGCAGGGCAGGGGTGTGCTCTCTTGTAATTATTTAGAGCGTCAGTGTTCTCTGTTTTGCAGTGGTGCTAATCAACGCTATGCTCCCTGAAGAAGTATGGGTTAATTGTCTTTTCATGCGGTTGTACCCCAATCGGCATAATTTTCTTGCATTAAGTTATTTTCTGTCCACACCTGAAGGCACTGTACATAGCACGCATACTCGCTGGGCTAACGACAATAGTGGCATGTTTCTTCATGTGTCTGCGGCGCTCCTCTGCCTACGTGACCATGCGTAAACGTGAAAAAGCTACAAACATTCAACAACAACAAAAAAGAAGAAAAAGGGATGGTCATCCGGATGCCAAACTTGTACTAAATTCGAAGCTTCACAGCTTCAAACATGAAAACGCACGTGCGTTCATTGGCTCTGGCGGCCGCCAGTCGGCAACGTGTTGTGACGCTGCGGGGCCGCACATCTGACCCGCACCGTGTATTCCATGGGGCACCAATACAGACACCAGTATTCGGTACTTAATCAGGCACATGTTTGTTTATAAGCGCAGCGGACGGCCGCACCGCGCCTGTCGTGTGCTATGTCTACTGATGACGTCACTTGCTGCAAAGGTATGGTTGCCAGTTGCGTTTGTTCACATGCAGCGTTTGCTGTTTTGCGCAGCACCCTTTCGAGTCTGCACTTCAAGATCGACACAAAATCTGTCAAACACGCATTCCAGTTACCGATACACGGGTGCGCTGCTTACAAGACACTCGATGCACGTACATAGCGCATGTTCTGAATGTGATTGCTCTTGAAATACTGACATCTGGCAAAATGGATCTTGTTGACCCATTGCGTACGCATAGCTCTTATGCCTGCTGTTGTACTGCAATGGATCATGCCGTTCTGGTATGTTCTGTGAGATCTGCCCATAAACATTTTGCAACATGACCCGTGAAAGATGATGTTGATTTTTTGAAATGCCGAAATGTACTGGCGTTCGCCGCTCGTCATGGTGTTGAGATCGGTATCACAATAATATATTTTCCTTGGAAATCACTGTTTATTTTCTAAGGGCACTGGCTCCCTGGTTTTCAAAACAAACGAGCAAACAGTACTTCCAAAACCTATGGAGGCCGGAGGACATGAGGACAAATCATGCTTTCTTATGGAAGCGTGATATATGATACCATTCAAAAGCTTTGGGTGAGCAAGGAGCCACCGTGCTTGAGATCACCTGCCGACCATCCCATACCACAGTCGATAAGGATCATACCCACCTTGGTGTCCTCAGTTCACATGCAAGCTGCAAAACGCTATCAGGGATGCCTTTGACAGTTCACTACACAGATTTAATGCCCCGATGGTCGTTCGTAATTGCTATGTACATATACATCACTGAGGAGATTCAGGTTAGGGCCGTAACAAATGCATCAGTGCTGTCACGGCCCTAGGGATCGCACGATCTAACCTTTATACGCACTCAAAGAGCACTTCTGGCTTAGAGCACTTCTGTTTTAGAGCCTGCAGCAAGGGCGCAAAAGAAACATAAGTGTCCTGAAAGGTACCTTCACTTCAGGTTGTTGCGCCATAGGACGTTGATTTCGCATGAGATCTTTCGACGAAAGATTGCTGTCATGTTAAGATGACCCACTACACCTGTGAATTCATGGCGCACCATTTTCAGCAACACCAAACACAACATACGTTGTACGCTCCTTCAACGGATGAAATAGGTGACTGACCATCAATGACTGCTGCCATCTCCTAGCCCGGTGCATCTGACGGCTCGGCCCTCTGCCGGGCAGGGCTCGAAGCAGCGGCTGCTTGACCATCATGTGCGACAGGCCTGACATGAAGCTAGGCCACGCGGCACTTTGTCTCGGTCTCTGCGTACCTACCAAACGAGCGCACTGTGACGACTATCGCGTAGTCACTTCATGTGCGGGATAACAATGAAGTGGGCATGCTCACTAATTACCAGCGATTTCTGTCAGCATTGGTGGACTCAAACAGCGAGAAAAGAAAGTTTTGAAACAACTGGAAGACATTCTCACGCGCACAGACCCCGTCATTGTACACAGTGCTCAACACACATCTCAACACGGAAATTAATGGCATGCAGCCAGACGTACACTGTAGGAGACCACAGCGGTAACGGAATAGTTAAAACACGTTTTTCATGAATATTACTCGGCTGACATTTGGAAAAAGAAAATATAGGGGCATGCCATACACTTGAAGATTAAACAAGGATGAACAGTCGTGCACTAATTGCATCTGCCTGACCGGGCGTGTTTTGACAAGTTCAGAAATTGCTCCATAACTAATCCTGGAGTCTGTAGCCTCCGCAGCATAGTTATCTGCGAAATTTCACCCAAATACCTTTCGAATTCGCATGTGCAATTGATTTTGAAAAGCATGCGTTGCTACTTGCAGAGAAGCTGCTTTCACCAAGCTAGACAATTTTTCATATGAAGGAATGTTCAAGAAAGATGGCTACCAGATCTTAAAGAACTATGATACCCTATATGTGATAGTTCGAGATAGCTCCAGGATATGGCGAAATAGTCCCTCTGATTACTCACCTAATTTTATCGAAATGTGTACGTACTATATCAGGTAAGACCCTTGAAAAACAAAGATGCGTTGTCAAGGCACAAATATTTACCTAAACACAGTTTGTTTCAGGGCTCGCTTTCGAGAGGATGCACGTGGAGTGCAGAGCGTGAACGTGCATGGAAATTCCAAAATGGTTCCTGCATTATTGAGCGTTCATTCTTCGCCTCTTAAATTGTTTACCTGGAGTTATGTTTGGTTAACAGCTGTGTTACACATAATCAATTCTTTCAGACTTTCTCGCGATGATATGTGCCTATATAATTGTCTTCATTCTTCTCCGGGATGCAGGTAAATGCCTTGTTTTGCAAGATCAAATGGCATTGCAACACATTTTAATGAAAGTGTATGGAATGTATCACGGTTGTAGCCACTTTCACATGACACGTAATCATGTACGTGTGCACTGCATCTCTTGCCTGACTAAGAATGGTGTCTTGTAACGCATAGGCGCGCTTGTATGCTTGACTTCGGCGTATCTGCAAGCAGGTCTGCTGTAGGAACATATTCTCAACGTGCCCGGGACATCAGTTTTTGGTTGCCTTCCGATACGTAAAATTTCAGATATGAGAACGCATGATGTTTTAAGCGCCTTACCCTTAGTTTCCCAGGTGCCCAGCATGGTTAGGCGGGAGTGTGTGATGGACTACTGGGGGTATCTCTACGTTGGAGACAAATCGGTCACGAACAAGAACAGGGAGTGTCAACATTGGATCACCAGGAGACCCATGCATAAGGTCAGGAATTTGGCTCTCCGGTAAGTTTTGAAACTTGCTTGCATTTACGTTTAACTTGCTTACGTCATGTATGATTTTAACGTTTAGCTGGTATAACTGTCTCTCGCAAGTTAAATGTACCCACAAATGATAAACTTTCCAAAGAGATATGTCAGTAGCCAGACATATTAACAGCGAATGTGCAAAATTTGAACATTACGAGTAAAATGGGAACACAAATGGCTCACTGTATAAGGATTCCGAAAGCGTACATCTTTCTTTGAACCCAAGTCTCGCATCCCTCAGGTCTCAACTCGAAACCAGGAGTTAACGCTCCATTTGCATGTACAATTCTTCAGCCCATATCACGTATCACACATCTGTACCGGAAGCAAATGAACGTATCACCTCGCCTTCTAAGCGTCCTAGTGTCATCTACAATGCGTGTCATTGATGCGTGTTTGACAGTACCACCAGCATTCCCGGCCCGTTAAAAGATGTTTGGATGTAGTAACGAGACAAATGGGTTAGGAAAAGCTTAACGATGACTGACGTTTAGCATTCGCTGACGCATTTGCCACCATTTCTTCGGATGTTGAAATGGCAATGTTTCCACATATTCATTCGCCCGTGCCTGCGTTATCCGAAAAATAAAAAAATGCAAAATGAACTTGCTGATGGCATATGTCGGCGCAAATATGTCACTGCAAATTTTTGGATGCAACGTTTTGCGGGAATGCCTTTTGGATTAAAGTCCTCGCTCCGAAAGCTGGCACACTTACGCAACAGTATAGAGAAAACCGGGCGAACGGCTTGTTTTGACTTACAACCTACTATCTGAAGTCAAGACACGGCGGCGCTCCGCGCTAGCCTGGTTTTCTCACGACCAACTGCCTGGTAACCACATCTGAAAATAGAAGCAATCGATTAATTGTTCTGGTCGAACCTATTTAATATGTTCCGCTCACGTGACAAGGTATGCAGAATTCCGTGCGTCGAACCACGAAAACGCATTACTCGCCGCTTAGTACTTTGATATATTGTCTTCGGTACTGGTTTGTGCATGCGTGATGCAAATGCCACTTGACCGGTTGCTACACACATGCATGTCGCCTCTATCATATCGGTAAGCTACGGCCGTGTCCGCATGCGAACAGGTGGATAAAAATATCAAGTTTTATCAGAGAGGGGGCAAGATCAAGGCTGGCAACGCCTGCCGCAACTCCTTCAAGGATAACGCACCCGTCCGCAACGGACCGTGGTAAGAAACTCAAATATTTTTTGGGTAGCCACTGGCATGTGCGAACAATGAAGGCTTGGTCGCACGTTGCTTCATGCAGATATTGACCGCATTTGATGATGGTATGCATTGATAAATCAAAAACTGAGGTTTCCAGTCATAGTGCAGTTTTGACCATTGCTGGGATAAAAGACCCATTCCCATTTTCGGAAATAAAGACTCCAGCTGTCTATGCGACCAGTTAAGTCACGGATATTGTGGCATCGGTGTTCTTGTCACGCAGCTTGGATATAGCATGCGACATTTGTCGTGGACATCTTGTAACATCGACTGACAAACCATACCACATGCACAGCAGGACTCCGCGAAATAGAATCTCGCTGACTTGGTTGCTGACAAACGTACCCACACTACCCACATTTTAACACGCTTCTGACCCAGCAGTTACACTCCTTCGCGGGGATGTCAAAGAACACGGCTGGGCACGACTCAGACCGACTCTTCTGTTTCAAAGCCGATGGAGCCAGGTGCCGACCAGTGAAAGGTGCACTGTTGTGCAATGTGCACAGCGTGCCAGCGACCGTCTCTCACGACTTGTCGCCCTTTTATTTTATCGGAATTCACAGAAGCACTGAAGTCGTGTGTTGCCAGCGTCCGACGTGGCGCTAAGACAAAACACAAAATGCTATGTTTTGGTATTCAGTAATGGCTGGAAAGTTATCCGCTTCTTCCCCATCCGTGTGACCTGGCTACCTAGCTTCAAGCGCCAAGCACTGCGCACGTCAACTCAGCGTAATTCTGGCTGCGGCCTTTGCGGCGGCGGCCTCTGCAGGTGCTACACCACACCAGCGTCGCCGTGCGGCAGGTGCTACACCACACCAGCGTCGCCGTGCCGCAGGTGCTACACCACAGACCCGAAGATGGTGCGAGGCAACTGCAACATCCCCCCGTGTGCCGAGCGACGCCAGGGCTGTGTCACCGGCATGTGTCAGGAGTACAGAGGCTTCTCCAACGGCGTGCTCAAGCCGCACATCTGGCCAGCCATGGGGCTCGGCTGCATGCGCTTCCAGACGTCCGGCTTCCTCGAGCGGATGAACATCTACAGCTATCCCAAGTACCTGCGGAAAGGTAGGTGACCCGACGGGCCGTCCGGGGTCGCCTTCGAGCCGGCCGAGGTGCCAGACTGCGATGGTCGCCCGAGTAAGCGAACATGGACCCCAGGCGCACCACCCACTCGGTTACACGGTTACAGTGAAAATCACGGCATTTTTGAGTGAACACTCCCTTCCACCCTGTTTTTACAAGAAATATCTCACAATATAGTTGTGTGTTGTTTAACTTGTAATTTAGATTTTTATCGATAATTATCGATAATTAATAAAAAATCGAACTCATGTAACGCATGAGCACTCGCTCATGACGATGTGCGAAATGATTTATTTACGTAAAAGCTACCCATGCGTTACATATCTTAGTAGCTGGAA